TGGGTTCCAGTGAGTCCCTGAAGACAAGAAACTGACAGAGGACATCCAGAAATAAATTCCTTTTCATTAGTTAGGACACAATCAAAATTTCCCCAACTTTTCTTGAGCATCAGAAATGTTTTATTCCTATCTCTATCATATATAAAAACCTTAGGTAATAAGTGCACCCCATAACTTGAGTGATGAGCAGTGACAGGCATTTCAATTTTTTTTTTTTTTTTTTTTGGTACCAAGGTTTGAACTCATGACCTCATGCTTGCCAGGCAGATGCTTATGCCACTGAGCTAAATCCCCAGCCAAACGTCTTTTTTAATGACCATAAACCAAAGTAATGCCCTTAGTGGCTAGCAGAGTACCTGATCTGTAATATTTGCCCTCTATGGCCATGACATAGTGGGGAATTCTACCAATTCTAGCATTCAGCTACTCTCCAAGTTTAGTAGAACTCTAAAGAATAACATATTGATTTATTTACACTTGCTTTGCCATTTTAAATTAAACCTTGCACACTCACAGGGAAAATGTACTGAGCATAGCTATCTGCTATGTGACTCAGAGCAAGCACTTCTATAGTGTTCTGCTGTTGTTGCTATCACCTGAATCCTTTGATTGCAAGTATTTGGGGCATTGAGCCAGTTCCTATTTCGGTACAGAAAGCTGATGTGAGCATGTAGAAACCATACCAGTCAGGACTTTTTAGAAAACTGAAACAATTTGCAATTTCCTGAATGATAGATTGCACTAAGGAAATGCATCACATAGTGTTTCCACAGTGAAATCTCGGCAGTAACTTTGGTGTATATACATACACCTGTTTGGGGAAGTCTGGTTTATATCAAATGCTTCAGTATAAATATTAATAGTATTCAGTCTGACCCCTAAATTATCTCTGTTTGCTTGTGAATTATCTAGTCACTATCCTTACATAGAACATCCTCTGTGAGCTTCCATAAATGGACAGACTTAGGAGTGTGAGAACATTTATGTATAAAGATTTGAAGTCTTCTGAGAGTGGCAAGACAGAAGACTAGTTTTAAATATAATCGGTTCAACACACAGATATATGGGACAAGGATGTTGGGGTATAGGAGGTACTAGTAAAGTTCAAAATGAGAAAGCAGCAATTTTGGGAGCCAAATTGTTTGAATGACCTCTGACTTAATGACCTGTGTAACACAAATCTATCAGCCTGGTAACGGGTATTTGTGTCCATGGTTTATAGATAAATGTTGAGATGAAGAAGTAAGTAACCTGATGAATGAGATGAACCCTGATGAATGGGTTAGATAACAGGACCTGCTTTTGCAAAAAGATTCATCCAGCATTCCAGTACTTATGCTCTTATATATGGTGCTTTATGCACTTTCTCAAAACTCTAAGATAAATAGATTTTGGTCATATGACATTGTATGTTACATTGCATGAAAAGTAGCAAAAATCCCACAGGATTTTGCAAGAACTTCAGAAAGGGAAAAACATAGCAATTAATTTCCTGAGCATTAGTGGAATAATGCTAGGATTGGCTATAAGATGTATTGACTTAATAATATTATTTAGTTATAGAAATATTCCTTTCTGGGCAATAAAAATAAAAATAAAAGGTAAGGACGATTTAATAATGATATATTTAACCATGATCTCAGAATTATGGTAAAACTTCCATACAACAATGAAATCTTTGTTATTAATATTCACTAAGATTTGGGGAAATTCTATTTAGTTACTTTGCATTTACTTTTGAGCATTTGTTGACAAACACAAACATTTGTGCTTATGATTAGTATTTTTCAACAGACACAGTCAAAACATAAGACTTTTCAAGGTCTCTTATTTCTTGATTACTTTGTGTTGTCTTTGGATTTCAGTGAAGATTGACTTTGAAGTAGAGTGTTTATCCCGACACTCAGTTGAGATCTGTCTTGTCTCAATTTCTAGTTCATATAATGAACTTCTCTTGCTTTGTGAAATCCATAGCTTTGCAACCAGCAGTGCAGAAGTCACCCACATGTATCTATAATTTAACATTTCTTCTTAATAAAATTCAGGATTTCATCATGAAGGAAAGTTTGGGGAAGAAATACATTACTCTAGAACACTTTCAAAGATAAAAGTGACTCCCTTGGGGAAAAGATGACACTTTATTAATAGTAAGAAGATTTTTTTGAATGTATGTCATCTTGAAAGCATGTAAAAATGACGGCAGACTCCACCAGGGGCCAGTTCCTTTCTCTAAGAGTTCAAAACTTATTAACTAAAGTTCTCAGTCAGTAAGAGGTGCCGCTGACTAGTTTGGTAAAGGTTACAGCCTTCTTATATGCAGCAGAATTATTCCTCATATTTCTCTTTCACTTGTTACAATTGATTATTCAACAAATCCAGCCTGCTGTGTTTCCCTCTATAGCACTGTCACGGTATGTGTTGCATACATATGTTGTATACATTTTTGCAGTATCTTCAATGGTCTGCTGCTTTTCTTTTTATTCTTCTTTATTTTTGGCAAGTCAGCAATTTTTTGCCACAAAAGGACAGATTGTGAGTATTTTCAATTTTTCAGGGCATGCACTACTATTATTACTACTCAATTTTCTTGCAGTGAAAATAAATGTATGTGACTGTTTCCATAAAACTTAATTTACCAAAAATAAAATGTAAACTATTACAAGGGAGCTAGTTTTTTAGGCCTACATATTGTATTAGTTTACTTGTCTTCTTAAGGAATGAAACAATATTTTGTGACTTAGAAAAAAATCTGCACACATTGCTTTGGGCAACCGTCTGAGGCTTTTGAATACTTTCTGTTTCATCTCCTGTACTCTCCACCAGGTAAACTAGTGTCTAACGACACTTCACCTCTATTTAGTGATCATACACTGATGGTCAGCAGTTTAAAATAACTTTCATATGCTTCTCCTTTGGTCCTAATGAGTTTATACTATTGTTCACATGCTGCTCTCTTTCTCTGAGGAAGCCTTAGGTAAAGACTTTTCCTCTAGGTACATTCCCTATTTATCCTGGTTTAGTCATTTCCTGTACTGAATGCTTAAACCCCTTTGTAGACATATCTTATGTTATTCCATACTCCAGTCATTTGTCTAGGTCTAGAGTCCACTTCTAAATGGGGCTCTTCAGAAATGAAAAATTCATCCTCTTTGACTTTGCAATATTGGCCTATTACCTATTGTGTTATAGGTACTGTTAACATAATTAATTAATTCAGTCATTCAGTATATGTATGCTGAGCTATAATATGGAGACAGACATACCTGAGACCTCAATGTACACCTGGGGAAAAAATAAATCTTCTGGCCTCAGGAGGCATTCATTTAAGAAAATGTAAATATATAGTTTGTCATGTAGTACACAAAATAACAGCCATAAATTAAATAGTGCAAGTAAAGGTATTCTTTTCCTGTTTCCACGGATGAGTTTACATATGAGCATATTTAAATATAATTAATTAATTCAAATATCGATGTAATGACTTGAATGCATTACAGGGATGGTCATTGCAAATGTTCTATGATTTTTGACATATATCTCACTGATTTTACTTTACGTTTCTGCTGCCCTCATATGGAGATAAAAAGCCAATCACAGTAAATTATTTTGGGGAGGGTCTGTTAAAGCTGAGTGATTCATTTTTCTAAGATTCAGAAAAGCAATGTAGCAATGGGGAGTTATTCTCACTGGTTATATCTCTTTATTAAAAAAAATGGATGAAAACACAGTCTCATAACTCCATCCCAGAAGGCAAATAATCAGAACATAGGATCTATAAGTAACATTTAATTTTTCCCTCTTTGTTTCATCCTGATATACTTTAATGTAAGAACCTGGTTTCTTGAAACAAGACAAATGAATTCTTCATCCCTGTTCTAATATCATTTTTGTAATATGCTATTATAACATTTAGTACATTGTTTTCAAGTTAATTGCTTATAAATGTACTTCATTCATAAGTATAAAAATTCTCCTGAAGTATGAGCTCTGTCCTCTAACTAGAAGATTTATTAGAATATTTGGCACAGTGTTACCATTAAGTTAGTGTTCGTCAACTTAAATTGATGATTTGTCTGTTTGAATTTTCACCATTGCTATAATACTGAAGCAGCAAATAAATCTAATTCCACTAGGGAAATTGCTATTGCTTTCCAACAAAAAAGCTTCTTGAAGTCTAACTCTCAACTGAGGAATATATTTCAAATATTTGTATTTTTTAATAGAATATTAAAGTGAAAAAGCTGTATTTAATCTTTGTTGCTCAAAAAGATGTACAGGTTTATTTTCAGATCTTTAAATCAAAAACATAATATTGCCAGTCTTTGGCCACTAAATATGCACCTCAATATACTGAGACTTTTTCAAAGATACACATACTATCATTTCTTTCACTTATAGTGTCTTTAGCTAAAGGGATCACTCCAGAATATGTCTGTTTATTTCTATATATATATTTGACACATGGTGAAAACAGAAAGATAAAGTACCAAAGAGAAAACATTTCTTGCATTTTCTTTTTTTTTTTTACCTTAGTATTGTAGGATTTCTGTAAATTTTTTGTGATGTCTAAGGTCAGCTTTACTCTACTATAATTAAACTCACTTTCTTAATAAGTACGTACACATATAGATTTCTTGTAAATAAAAATTCTTTACTGAAATTTACCTATAACACCTATTCATATCATATGTACCCTTCTTCAGTTAGTATGCCCTGTCTTATTCCATGCTATTCAAGTCAATTGGGAAAGAAATAAATTTTGAAAAATATATTTGCATTTCTACTAAATAGTATAATCAAGAGCAATTTTGTTGTGTTTTCCCTTTGTTCCAGATGAGAAATATTTGGCTCCTTCTTAGAGTTGAAATGATAAAAAGAACTAAATTCATAAATTAAAAATTATTTTGCTTTTCCTGACTTTAAGAGACAGATAAATACAGGTTTAAAGGTTAAAGCCACAGGCAATCACCTAAGAAAGTCTATATACAAATAGTAAAGGGTTTACTATGTGACTGGTTCATTTTATTTTTTTAAAGAGATTAAGACAAAACAGTATATAACAAAGCAGCTTCGAACAATGTAAGCAACACAAATTTTAGTAGAAGACAACCCATAATTAACAGTAACTACCACAATGTCTCTTTCTTTGAAATAGTTGAGTATAACTTCATATACAGTAGTATCAAACACAAAAAATAGTGTAAAAACATACAAGAGAACGAGAGTATTACAGGGCATTCTGAAACAAATAACAAAAAAGAAGCAGTGGCTACTATATTATCTCATTTTCCATAGAAACTTCATTTATACATTCACATGTAATACAATCAAATAAGGTACAATATGATAGAGCCAATGGAAACAGAAGAGCAAAAGCATGGCAGGACTTCAGAGTAAGATGATATTATACAAGTACTGGATATTACAATGACTTGTTTCCCTCAAATTAGCTGTTCATACTATCACAGGTAATAAAATCAAACAAACAAGAACAAACCCATTACAACTAATGAATGCCATCATTATAAGTTTTCAAAACAATATAATGGGGAATCATGATTAACATAAAATCTTATGTATCCTTATTATTTCTTACACTAGGGAGACTATACAGTATTTGAACATATGAGATTGATTTATTTTGCTTATGACTATGGTCTCAAGTTGCACCTGTTTAATAGTAAATATCTCAATGTGATCATTCTTTATAGTTGAGCAGTACTCCATTGTATAAAAATAGCACAACTTTTTTATGGATTCCTCAGTTGATGGACCCTTAGGTTGTTTCCAAGATCTCGCTATTACAAATTGTGCTGCTATAAATATGGGTACACATATATCACTGTGGTATGATGCTTTCAGTTCTCTGGGAATATGCCTAGAACTGAAATGGCTGGATCAAATGGGACTTCCAATCTCAGCTTTTTGAGAAATCTCCAGACTGACCTCCACAGTGGTTGCAACAGTTTACACTCCGACCAACAATGCAGGAGATTTCCTTTTCCCCACAGTCTCTCCAGCATTTATTGTTGGTAGTTTTCTTGATCCTGGCCATTTTTTCTGCAGTGAGATGAAATCTCAGTGTTGTTTCAATTTGCATTTCTCTAATGACTAACGATGATGAACCTTTTTTAAAGTATTTATTTGCCATTTGTGTTTCTTCATCTGAGAACTGTGTATTCATCTCAGATGCCCACTTTTGCATTGGTGATCCGGCTCGCGGATCAATCCATGGGTCTCACCTGGAAAGGGGATCGGGGATGTGGGCAGGGCAAGAGAAAAGAGAGATAGAGGCTTGGAGAGATTCTGGTCAAACCTCTTTATTTTTAAAAATGGCTGCAGCTTATAAAGGGTGGAGGCAGGCCAAAGGCAGGAAGAAGGCATGAAGTCTTATCTGGTAGGTCATCCTCACATCCGGTTATATGATGTAAGCTGGAGAGGATTATGGGTAATGTAGGCAGGCATGAGGATCATGGGATATGTAGGCTGAAGCAGGAAGTTTGCTTACGTCATGCGCATTGTAGGCAAGGGGAGAATCATGGGAAATGTAGGCTGACACACAAAATGCCCTCAGGGGGGAGGGGCAGGGCAGCAGCAGCCATTCTAAGCTGCTCCCTACATCTCCTCCCTTATTATTATTTATGTGTTTTAGGAACATGGCAGGCCCAGGGAGGACAGCGCCTGTCTTGGGTCAGGGATACCTCATATGAACCCAATCGAGCCTTACCCGTCATGGGGCTGCAGGACAGCTGTTGGTCCTGGACCTGTCTTAGGTGGCCAATTGGCATTACATATGTGTCCTAGTTGCCCGTCTCTGGATGCCTGTCCAGTGCCTCAGGGCATTTGCGCCACAGTATCATGTGGGCCGTTGGTGGGTGTTCTTTCCCGATAAGTTTGTTGTTCTGCCATTTCCAACTGATGGTAATATACCTGAATGGGCTTTGCCATAAATGTGTCAATCTTGATATTAACATTATTAATGAGCTTCATGATCCTCTGAAAAATACAAGGTCCTACAGTAAGCAGTAACAGCAAGGTGGCTATGGGTCCCAAGAGGGGGGCAATGTAAGGGAAGAGACCCCCCCCACATGGAGGAGAAGGTAGTTGTTCCGAGGCACTCCTTTTCTCTCTCTCTGAGGCGCTCTCTCAGTTTACTCATGGACTGTTTGACTACTCCCGACTGGTCAGCGTAAAAACAATACTCTTCCTTGAGGGCAGCACATAAGCCACCTTCCTTCATAAATAGGAGGTCTAGTCCTCTTCTATTTTGTAGGACTACCTCAGATAGAGACATCAAGGATGCCTGTAGAACCATCACAGATGCTTCTATTTTTTTTTTAAATCCTGATCCACTGCTGCCTGTAATTGGGCTAGATGCTTATTTCCCAACACTAGAGCCATGGTCCCTGTCCCTATTCCCGTTGCTACTCCTAATCCTAGTAACACAGCTAAGGTGAGTGTCACGGGTTCTCTCTTAAATATATAGCTGATCTGCGATGCCTGGAGGTAGTAGTCTCCTGGGTGGAAGGTTATGCGAGGAAGAACCTGTAGAAGAACACAAAAATCTGCAAACTTGTTAAAAACAGTAGTTGCTATACAGGGTGAGAGGCCAAAATTGCAGGCCCAGAATGTTCCTGGGGGTGGAATGAGGTAATTATTTGGCTTGAATTTTGAATGAAGCTGGGCACAGAGTTGTGCTGCCAGTGCTGGTGGATGGCTGGAGTCCCCACGACAAGTCCCTCTACCTGAGACATCAGTGAGAGTCAGCTTGTGGTGATTGCCCCAGTCACAGGCAGATGAGCTAGAAGAACTGATAAAGGTTAAATTGAGGGCCTTTCCTTCATAATATGGGGGAGGAGCAGCCAAGCATAACCAACAGGATTGGGTGAGATCAGGTTGGATATGATTCAAAGTCATGTATGCTCCTTCAATCAAACTGAATAGGTTAGAATGTGAATATTGAGGGGCAGGTACATGATCTGTCTGGTGTAGCGGAGCTTGAGAAACTGTTATGGTTGAGGGACTTACTGTGATTATTTGAACAGTAGTAACAGGATCTGCAGTGGGCTGATTATATTTTGGATTTAGATTATATTTTGGCTTTAGAGCAAGATTTGGGCCTATGGGCATGAATGAAGTCTGTAGGGGAACCTTTTTTTTATGAGAATAAGACTTCCCCTGTCTTTGCCTGACTCATAAACTCGAAGTCCCCAGGTGCGTCCTGCCAGCCAGCCAGGGTCTTCATGAGTGGTGACAGTGATGTTTAGAACCTGACAGGGTCTTTGATTGGCCAGTGGGTAGTCATCTAGGCTGCACCCCAGCAGCCCCCATGTCAGTTTAAGGTGTTTATCGGGGAAGGCGGTTGCCACCCTGTTGCAACTGTTTCACAGCCCCAATAAGCACAAAAATATTCTCCCGGGGATTTACAATATGATCTGCCCCCTGTTGCTGTGGGAAAAAGGTAAAAATGACTTTGTTTGGGACATTGGAGCCCTGGAAAGAACCAACAGGGTGTGGGCGCAAACCATGGGCTTTCTGATCCTACCCAAGTGGAAACCTTCTCTTCATCATTCCAGAGGCTAAGCTCCCATTTCCAGGGTTGATGGGGTTTGCTGTCCATTAGATGTAGTTGTGTCAAAAGCCCAACGATGGTCCATAAGGTTTTGTCAAGTTGCACCATCTGTAAGAGAACACAGGGAATTATGCCTCAGGAGGGGATTTTATTCCTGGGCATCACATTGGGTCTTCAATGAGGAACTGTCTACTTGTTTTATAAGCCACTCAGGGAGCCATCTAGCTCCCTTTTCCTGTTTGGAATAAATACATACAGAGCCTCGTCTCCAGATGAGGACTAGGTCTGGGCCATTCCATGTGTTGGTCGGGGGATCTCTCCAGAGAACAGATACATATTGTGTGGCTGTCTGTGTGTGCCAGAAGCGAGATGCTGCAGAGTAGCCTGAGGCATCCAGGGATAGAAAATTCAAAATAAAAAAGAGCACGTGAGAGAATATTTTTAAGAGAACCTCAGGTTGGATACCAGGTTCCTCCCTTCACCTTGTCTATGGTAGATTTGATGGAACAATGTGCATGCTCAACCATGCCTTGTCCTTGAGGATTGTAAGATATACCCATGGTATGGAGAATATTAAGGCACTTACAAAACTTGGCAAAAGAGGTACTAGTATAGCCTGGTCCATTGTCCGTTTTGAGTTGTTAAGGACATCCCAGAACTGACAGAGCTGATGGCATGTGGGCTATAATATGTTTAGTAGCCTCTCCAGTCTGGAGTGTGACGAAGATGAAACCACTGTATATATCAACACTTACATGTATATATTTTAGGTTGCCAAATTCATAAAAATGAGTGACATCCATCTGCCACAAGACATTGGGGATCAAACCTCTCGGGTTGACTCCCAGATGCTGAACAGGCAAATGAACAGCACAAGAGGGGCAATTTCTTACAATTTGTCTGGCTTGTTCCCAAGTAATTTTATGGAGGAGGCAGAGGGTCTGGGCATTAAGATGGTGTACCTGATGAGCCTGTTGGGCCTCAGATATCTTGGAGTCATCTATAGGCCCAGAGTGGGACATGAATACCTGTGCCCGTGTGGCAATATCAGCCAAGTGATTTCCCTGAGCGAGGGGACCTGGGAGGCCAGAGTGAGCTTATAGTGGCCACTTAAAAACTTATAAGTGCAAAGCCGAATCATGTCCTGCAATTGTTTGAATAGGTCTGCAGCTGCGGATGCATGGCTTATGGTTGCAACAGTTTCTAGTAATGGAACAGACTGAGCAAGGTAGGCACTATCGGTGTACAAATTGAAGGGTTGGTTGGGATAAGCAAAGAAAACTGCAAGGATGGCCTGTAATTCAGCTAGCTGTGCAGAATAGGTGTTTGTCTGAAGGGTGAAAACATTGTCTTGGGCTACATAAGCAGCCTTGCCAGAGGAGGAGCCATCAGTAAAAAACACTAGGGCACCAGAAAGGGGCTGTGAAGCTGTAATTTTGGGAAATACAAATGGGTGATGGTTAGCAAAATCAACTAACTTATTTGGAGGGTAATGGTTATCAGTGGTCCCTGAGAAGGAGGCTATAGCAATAGGCCATGCCTCAGTGGTCTGGAGTAACCAGTCCACTTGGTCTTTTGTGAAGGGTTGAATGATAATATCTGGTTCCTTTCCATAATAACATTTTCCTAGCCTTCTGCCTTGAATTATCAGGTCAGAGACTGCTTGGTAGAAAGGCAATAATACTCTCTTTGGGGAGACTGGCAGATGAAGCCACATAAGAGGAGCCTGTTGCCAAAATACTGCCGTGGGAGAAAGTTTTGTATTAAAATGAGATATTGTAGTGGCCTATTATAATCTATGAAGGAGACAGTTTGTCGAGCAATAGCCTCTTCTACTGTATGGAGTGTTTTTCTAGCATTCGGTGTAAGCTCTCGAGGGGAAGTTGGGTCAATGTCTCCTTAGAGGATCTCATAAAGGGGTTGTAGGTCATGTTTGGTCAATTTTAAATAGGGCAAAAGCCAATTAATATCACCCAGAAGCTTTTGAAAATCATGAAGTGTCTTAAGCTGAGGCTTTGGAGAAAACACCTGGGTGCCTTGTAACTGAAAACCCAAATATGTATATGGGTCAGTAAGCTGGACCTTGTCAGGGGCTATTTGAAGCCCAGCCTTTTGTAAGGCAGCTTGTAATGCCTGGTAACACTGTAAAGTCTGGTCTTGACTCTCTCCTGCCAAGAGGATATCGTCCATATAACGGGAGATATATATATATATATATCTGGCCAATGATCTCTAACTGGCTGTATTGCGGCAGTGACAAAAGACTGGCATAGCATTGGAGAGTTTGCCATACCTTGTGGTAAGACTCGCCATTGAAATCTCTGTATAGGGGCTATAAAATTAATTGATGGGAGAATGAAGGCAAAATGCTTTTGGTCATTTGGATGTAAGGGAATAGAAAAAAAGCAATCTTTAAGATCAATGACAATTTTTTTTAAAAATCCCAGAGAAATGGCACTGGGTGAAGGGAGGCCTGGCTACAGGTGTCCCATTAAGACCATGGTCTTATTTATTGCCCTAAGATCTTGTAGCAGCCTCCATTTCCCAGACTTTTTCTGAATAACAAAAATAGGTATGTTCCATAGGGAATCACTAGGGGCAATGTGGCCTGCATCTAACTGGTCTTGTACCAGCTGCTGTGCGGCTGCAAGCTTTTCAGAGGTAAGGGACCACTGATCGACCCAAATAGGTTTGTCTGACAACCAAGTAATCTCTTTTGCATGGGCCGCAGGAATGTCAATGACCCCTATTGAAAATGGCCTAGGCCTGTTTTAGAGGAGTTTGGAGTTGGGGAAATAGGGACTTTAATGCCTGAGCCCCGTTTGCCTAAACCTTGATTAGGAAGGAAGCCCTGAGTGAGCATTTGTTGGTGGCTACAGCATTGGGGCTGCTCATCATCATTCCCATTGGAGTTAGCAAATCTCTGCCCCACAAGTTAAGGGGTAGCCCTTCTACAATATAGGGCTGTATGTGCCCCTGATTGTTCTCTCTATCTTTCCAGGTAAGTAGACTGGCACTATGTTGTGGATTTTTAGATAGTCCAATCTTTTGTAAATGTGTCATAGTGGTTTCTAAGGGCCATGTGGGAAGCCAGTCCTCCTTTCTAATGACTGTTACATCAGCACCTGTATCTATGAGCCCTGAGAAACCTTTCCCATTAAGCAATAAAGCCATAAGGGGTTTATCTTTGGACATATATTGGGCCCAATATATATCTGAGGATCCAAGGGAAGAATTTCCCCTGTAGGAAGCCACAGCTGTATTAGGAGTTTGGACTAAAGGCAATAGCACCAATTGAGCAATATGTTGTCCTTGGCTAATGGAAACCAGGCCAGAGATAGAGGATGCCATGACAACAATTTCGCCTGTATAGTTGTTATCTATGACTCCTGGAACAACTTGTAACCCTTTCAATATTGTGCTGCCGCATCCAAGAACTAATGCACAAGTGTCCTTGGGAAGACGGCCATAAATCCCCGTAGGTATGGCTTGTATTCCCATGTCGGGAGCTAATACTGCATTGGAGGTGGAACAGAGGTCCAATCCTGCACTTCCTGGCGTGGCGCGGAGGAGGGTTGAAATGGATTGTTTTGGGCCTGGTCGTGTTGTGTCGGGTTGTTTTGTTGTGGGATAAACCTTATAGCTCAGGGAGTCTGTCTGAGGTAGGGGGTCTGGGGCTGACCCCGAATCCCGTTTCCCTTCTGGGGGAGGGGATTGCCATCTGCATCTGTCTTTGACCTGCATTCATTAGCCCAATGATATCCCCTTCTGCATTTTGGGCATAGACTTGAGGGTTTTGGCCTTGAATTATTGTACTGAGACTTTTGGGCCACAGGGCAGTCTCTGGCAAAATGGCCTGTCTGATCACATTTAAAGCGTTTGCCATTATTTGTTTCCCCTCCTTGCTTGTGTGCGAGGAAGATTTCTTTTATAGCTGCAGCCATAACTAAAACTTGATGGTAGGCGGAGCCTATGTCAGCACACAAGCGAATATAACCCAAAAGATCCTCTTTTTTTTCTATAGGGTTTGATAGCAGCCTGGCAGGCAGGAAGAGCATTTTCATAAGCCTAACAAGGCCAGTGTTATCCTCGGTGGTGCCGAAGAGACAGTCAGTTGCCTGTAAGAGGCGATTAACAAAATCAGAGAAGTGTTCCTCAGGTTTTTGTTTTATTTTTGTCAGGGAAGAAGTGGCTCCACCAGAGGGGAGCCTTTGCCATGCTCTGCTTGCTGCCAGGGTGATCTGAGCAAAAAGACCTGCCTCATATCGCATTTGGGCTTGTTGTGTAGCATATCGGCCTGTTCCCATCAGCATGGGAAGGGTGTAATGATTTTTCCTGTTAGTATTGTCTTTTAGCTAAAAGTTCACATTGCTCTTGGAATTCTACCTTCCAGAGCAGATAGTTGCCCCTGAAAGTGTAGCTCTGGCTAAATCCCTCCAATCACTAGGCTTAATCCAGCCTTGGGTTAAGAAATCTAAGACCGCAAGGGTGAAGGCTGCCGTGGGACCATATTGAGATACTGCTTTTTTTAATTCTTTTAGGGCAGTTACTGGGAATGGTGCACGGGCCCTATTAGCTCTCAGTGCTAGGGATGGTGGGTCCATGTCTGTATCTGCCATCCGAGTCAGAGTCATTTTCTCTCGCCATTATTAGTTTCTTTATCTTGTCTCTGTAGATGTGGTGGCTGTCTTTTTTTACTTTCCCTTGTTGTTGTAGTGGCCTGTATTTTATCTCTTTCATGTTCCTGACTTGAAGATTGAGTCCCGTGTCTAGTTCGCCTCCTTTGTCTCCCCCTTTCCCTAATTGTTTTAGTGTCGCCCTCTTGTGGACTGGCACCACCTTGGGTGGGTCGAGTTGTCTCTTCACCATCATGTAAGTTATCACCACTCATGCCAGGTTGGGCAACTTCTGTTACAGGAAACAATAAGGGATGTGCTACTCTTAAGGCCTCTGTTTTGGGAGGGCTGGTAGTCTCTGTAACCGGGAACATCATTGTGGGCAGACTACCTGGTGAACCTGAGATAGGTGCTATCTTAAGGAGTGGCAGGCGGCTAGTGATGGCCGTCATTCTAGGGGGGTTTGCATGCAATGTTTGGAGCCCTAAGGAAAGCCTTTGTATATTGTTAGTCAGCTGAACCTGCTGTTGTAGATCATGAAATTGTTTCTCTAATGAGAGAAGGGCAGGAGACAGACCGGGCAGTCGCTGAAGACCAGGGGGTAGTTCTGCAGCAATAGGAGCCATAACCCAGGGGTAATGGTATTGGGCAGCCTCTTCTTCTAATTGTGACCAATCAACTTCTGGCAATTGGAAAGGTCAGGGTAAATAGGGCGGTATGGAGGAGGGAACGTGGCGGCACCATTTTGTGTATCAGGGTGGTGAGTGCCATTTTGAGGACCCTCGTGGTCTCCAGACAAAGGGAGTGTTTGCACATCGCCATCTTGAACAGGCTCCGGGATATCAAGGACAACAGAGCCGGGAGGGTTGGGTGCCTTAGATAATACCAGTGGTGGTGGAATACAATTGCGGGAGGCAGCTAACACAGCCTTACCCTGGGCGAGCATCTCTGCTACCTGGGGATCTGTGTGACCTTGTGCCAGCAGCTCAGAGAGTGAAGACCAATATGAAAAAGCAGTTACAAGAATCTTTTTTGGGCCAAAAACTTCATAATAGTCTTTAAGAGCATCTCCTACTCTATTCCACCTGTTTAAATTGATGGTGCCCTCTGGGGGGAACCATGGACACAGTGAATTTATAAACTGAAAGTACTTTATCAGTTTCTTTGTCTTAACCTTAATCCCTCTAGTCTTGAGTACCTACCTGAGGCCAGTCACGAACAATTCATGCTCACTGAGTGCTTGCCCCATGCTAATGCCATTCACCTACCATGATTCAGGTGAGACAGAAGGTGGCCATCCACACGGATCACAGGAACGAAATCCTTGTATCAGTCATGCTGGCCAGCACTTTACTCCTGTGAATGGTCCTGCATCGTTATCCCTCATGCCAGGTGGGGTCCCTTTGTGGTTGCCACTTGATCTGGCCCGCTGATCAATCCAGGGGTCTCACCTGGGAGAGGGGATCTGGGATGGCAGCAGGGCAAGAGAAAAGAGAGATAGAGGCTTGGCGAGATTCCGGTCAAACCTCTTTATTTTTAAAAATGGCTACAGCTTATATAGGGTGGAGGTGGGCCAAAGGCAGGAAGAAGGCACGAAGTGTTATCTGATAGGTCATCATCACATCCGGTTATATGATGTAAGCTGGAGAGGATTATGGGTAATGTAGGCAGGCATGAGGATCATGGGAAATGTAGGCTGAAGCAGGAAGTTTGCTTACATCATGTGCATTGTAGGCAAGGGGAGGATCATGGGAAATGTAGGCTGACACACACAATGCCCTCAGGCGGGAGGGACAGGGCAGCAGCAGCCATTCTAAGCTGCTCCCTACACATTGGGTCTTTGAATATCAATGATCTGATATTTTTTTAATTCTTTATATGTTTAAGATAGAAGACCTTTGAGGGACAGTTCACTAAGATTTTTCCCATTTTGTGAATTTTGTTTTCACTATGCTAGAAACTTCTTTTGACATACAGAAACTTTTTAATGAGATGTGATCCCTGTTATTGATTCTGGGTGGTAGTTCCTGAGCAGTTTGACTCCTGTTCATGAATTTTCTACCTACCCCAATATCTTCAAGATGTTTACCTACTTTGTCTCCCAACAGATTTAGTACTTCTGTTTTAATATTCAGATCTTTGAAAACTTAGATTTTAGTTTAGTATATGGTGATAGGCAAGGGTCTAGGTTTAGTTTTTGGCATATAGAGAGCTAGTTTTCCAGAATCATTTATTAAAGAGACTGTCGTTTTTTCAGTGAACATGTTTGGCGCCTTTATCAAAGATAAGGTGGTTGAGTGTGTTGGTAGTTGTGGTTGTATCTTCTAGTCTTTTCCATTGATCTTCAGATCTATTTTTATTCCAGTACCATGTTGATTTTATTACAGTAGCTTTGTAGTATAACTTCAAGTCAGGGATTGTTGTGTCTCCTGCCCTGACTTTGTTTCCTAGAAGTGCCTTTACTATTCTAGGTCTTTTCTGGTTCCAGATGAATTTTAGGAGTGATTTCTTTAGGTCTGTGATGTATGTTGATGGCATTTCCATTGGAATTGCATTGAATCTGTATAACACTTTTAGGAGAATGGCCATTTTCAAAATATTTATTCTTGGTCTCCATGAACAAGGGATGTCTTTCAATTTTCTGAAATTATCTTCAATTTCTTTTTTCAGGGTATTATGTATTTCCCTGTATAGATCTTTTACTACTATCGTGAGATTAATTCCTAAGTATTTTATTTTTTTGGATGCTAGTGTGAAGGGGTGTGGCTTCTCTTATTTCTCTTCCTGTAATTTTTTTGTTAGTGTTTAGAAATGCTATTGATTTTTGAGCATTGATTTTGTATCCACCTACATTCCTGAATTTATTTCTCATATCTCAGAGTCTTTCAATGGAGTTTTGGGGGTAACATGATCTGGCTAGTATTTCCAGTAGTATATTGAATAAGAATGGTGATAAGGGACATCCTTGTCTTGTGCCTGATTTTAAGGTAAAGGTCTTCAGATTTTGGCCATTTAATATGATGCTGGCTGTAAGTTTGTCATAGAGGACTTTTATCATATTGAGGAAAAGACCATCTATTCCAATTTTCTGTAAGGTTCTTATCCTGAATGAATGTTGGACCTTATCAAAGCCCTTTTCTACATCTATAGAAATGATCATGTGATTCTTACTTTTGACTTTATAGATATAGTGGATTACATTAATTGATTTATGTATGTTGAAACATCCCTACATGCCTGGGATGAATCCCACTTGTTCATGGTGTATAATCTTCTTGACGATTTGATGCATCCTGTTTGCCAACATTTTACTGAGGATTTTTGCATCTGTATTCATTAGGGAGATTGGTCTATAGTTCTCTTTTTTAGTTGGGTTTTTCTCAAGTTTTGTTACTAGCATAATATTTGCTTCCAGGAATGACTTAGGAAGAATTGCTTCCATTTTGATTTCATTGAAGAGTGAGGGGTGTCAGCATTAAGTCTTCTTTGTATTTCATGTAAAATTCTTCAGTGAATCCATCTGGGCCTGGGCTCTTCTTTGTAGGTAAGGACTTAATTGCAGTTTCAACTTCATTAATAGAAATTGGATTATTTAGCAAATTTACATCTTTTTGTCCCAGATGTGGTCCTTCAGATGTTTCTAGGAATCTGTCCATTTTTTCTGTGTGATCGAACCTGTAAGATTAGAGGTTTTGAAAATAGGTGTTGATGACCTTCGGTATTTCCTCAAGTCTGTAGTGATTTTGCCTTTTTTGTTCTTTATTGCATGAATTTGAGCTTTTTATCCCTTTTTTTAAATAAGGTGGGCTAGGGACTTATCAATTTTATTTATTCTTTCAAAGAACTAACTCTTTGGTTCATTGATTCTTTGGATTGCTTTCTTATTCTCTAATGCATTAATTTCTGCTTTGACTTTTATAATGTCCTCTCTTCTTTTGGCTTTGGACTTGACTTGCTCTTCTTTTTCTAGATGTTTGAGCTGTAGCATCAGGTTGTTTATTTGTATTCATTCCATTTTCCTGATGTGGGAACTCAATTAATTTTCCTTTGAGGACTGCTTTAATTGCATTCCACAAATTCTGGAAAGTTGTATTTGTATTTTTGTTTGCTTGTAGGTCTTATTTAATTTCTTCATTAATTTTTTTAAATTTCCCCCTGTGGTCCTCTGATTGCTCAAGAGTGTATTATTCAATTTTCCTGTGTTTTGGGGGTTTTTCCAGTTACTTTTATCATTAATTTCTAGTTTCATGGTGCTATGATCTGATAACAGGCATGGGATAATTTCAACTCTTTTGCATTTATGTATGTTGATTAGTATGTGGTCTATTTTATCTTCTGTGGATTAGTATGTTGACTATTTCAGAGAAGAATATATATTTTGATGCTGTTGAGTGAAATACTCTGTATATGTCTATCAAGTCCATTAGTTCACAAGTGTGACTAAGTTCTATTATTTCTTTGCTGATTTTCTGTCTGGTTGATCTGTCTCTTGGTGTCAGTGGTGTGTCAAGGTCTCCTGTTATAATTGTGGTATTGTTTATTTTATTTTTCATTTCTTTCAATTCTTGTCTGGATAACTGGGTGCTTTGGCATTTTGCACATATATATTTAAGGCTGTTATCTTTTCCTCTTGAAGTTTACTCCTAACCAGTACGTAGTGAATTTCTTTATCTCTTAGTATCATTCTCGGTTTGAAGTTCACATAATCTGCAAACAGAATAGATAGCCCTGTTTTTTGAGGGTGTTCCTGTTGCACGTACTATTTTTTCCATCCTTTGACTTTCAGTCTGTATCCTTTTGGGTTAGATGCATTTCCTGTAGACAGCATATGGTTGGATGTTGTTTCTTGATCCATTCTACCAGTCTGTTTCTTTAATTGGTGAATTGAGACCATTTACATTAATGGTTATAACTGTTATATATTGTTTTTTTTTTTTTTTTTTGCTGTTGCATCTTATCTTTCCATTCTGTTTAAATGTCTGCCTTGTTTAATGTTTTTTTTTCCCATGTGTATCTAAACTATCTTTCAGTATTCTTTGCAGGGCTGGCTAGATGATCTTGAAGTACTTCATCTGTTCTTTGTTTTGGAAGTATCTTATTTCTCCATCCATTTTGAAGGACAGTTTTTTAGGGTACATCAATCTAGGTTGGAAATCATTTTCCTTTAGGATCTGAAATACTTTACTCCATGCACTTCTTGACTTCATTGTTTGTGTTGAAAAGTATGCTGTGATTCTGATAGGGTTTGCTTTATAGGTGTTCTGTTTCTTCTCTCTAATAGCTTTTAATATTCTATTTTTATGTTGGATTTCTGGGATGGTGATTATTGTATGTCTGGGTGTAGTTTTGTTTTGGTTGTGGCTATTTGGAGTTCTATATGCTTCCCGAATCCTAATGTCAGTTTCCATTCTCATGTTTGGAAAATTTTCAACTATTTCTTCTGTGAATAGCCTCTTGATATAATTTCTGTTTTCCTTTTTTTTTTCATTTATCCCTATCAATCATATGTTGTTTTACTTTGAGTCTTCTTGCAGCTGTTGGATTATTATTTCATGATTCCTTCTTATTTTTAAGAGGTCTTTCCTTTCCTAATCACTTGCTGCAATCCTATCTTTGAGATCTGAAATTCTCTATCTTAAATTTCATTGAGGAAGTTTTGACAACTTTCAGTGAAAATTTTGATTTCCTGTATATCTCTTTGAATATGATTTATATATTCTGTTTGTTTCTTATATTTTTCATCCAGGGACTCTATCTTTTGGTTTTGTTCCTCTAATTTTTTAACTGTGTCTTCTTTAGATGTGCTCAGCATCTCTTTCACTATTTTCATCATATCTTCTTTTATCTGGGAGATTATTTCTCGTTTGAATTCCTTTAAAGCTTCCTGGAGTTGTTTCTTTATTTCAGTTACTATTATTTCAGGCATATGGTATATATTTTCTTTTATGTACATAGCTCCTAGGCTTTCTTGGGATGGGTTGGATGTTTGAGATTGCATTTTGGTCTTTCGTTTTGTCATTGTCCTATATTTCCGTGTTTCAAGTGTTGTTACAAAGCTTCCCCTGGGAGTGTTGGAAATTGTCTCCTATGTCCTTGACTCCTGGGACTCCTCTGGTAGCAAAGTTCCCTCTTTGGGCCATGAGGCACCCAGATTAAAAGGAGGTTACCAGGGGAGGCTCAGGCAGGCCTAAAGCCTCCTCAAGTAATGCAGATCTCTACTCCAGCCACAAAGTTTCCCAAATGGAAAGAAGGTCACCAGACAAGGTCCAGGCAGGCCTGTTTCCACCAAGCCTGATCTAGTGTGGCCGCAAGTTGGACGGGTCCCCAACCACCAAGATCAAGGATCTCAAACTCTCTCAGGAATCAGGTGTTGTGCAAGCATCCACTTCCTGGGTGGAACAATCTCACTGGCTGAAAGAAGGTTAACTGCATGGCTTAGACAGGGCCCAAACTTTCTCCACAGCACAGCTCACTCCTCCAGAAAGCAGCAGCAGCGGTGGTGCTCCCCAGGCCAAGAGACAGTTGCTGGGAAGACCCAA